GAATGTCAACTTACCACAGCCTTTGCGGCTTGTGAAACGTAGAATGTGTTTGTTTTCCTCTTGGTTTTACGTTGGCGTTTACCGCTTGCGCAATGTATAAGATGCCTGTTAATTTACGTTGAGCTCGGCTGGTTTGTGAAACTTAAATATGTTCTGTTTTACGTTGGCGCTTGTCGCTTGAGAAACGTATTTATCAGTTCTGTTAGGTTAGCCTTTCTGGCTTGGGAAACGCAGAGGTGGTTCCCTCCCCCGCTTCGTTTTATGTTGGCGCTTGGCGCGTAAAACGCTCTAGTCTAGGTGTCTTTTTACGTTACCCATTTGTGGCTTGTGTATTGTTTATCAGTAGTTGTTTTTTCTGTTTATCCCGCTTTGGCGTTGCTCGCTTACGCAATGTATACAACTGCGTGGCTTGGTGCACGTTGGTATTTTTGCGGTTTTGATTTTTGCCTTGTGTTATTCTAGTCATTGTTTGGTATTTTGGTATTGTCGGTACTGTTGCCATTTGCATTTTTTCGCATTGGTTTTCGATATTCATTAGTATCAGTACATGTTTTTTCTTTGTTCCCGTTGCTATATTAGTTGTTTTAACCCTCGTTTATTTATCTTTTTTCCCTTTTCCCTTTTTCTTTTACCGCTCAGGCTGCTCCCTATGATATTATTGAGGGAGATTGCTAAGGTTAAAAACTAGCTTGATCATAACTCCGTTCAAAGTGCCCTCCAGACTTTAAAGCAGCTAATTTTTCCTCCCGCGGGTATTTCTGATGTGCATGCCGTTATTGCGGCTCTGGAACACTTGGTTGACGTAGCAAGAGAGAAAAATGATGCCCAGGCCTCCTGTTACAATTCTATCCTGAAGCAGACCAGACCCCTCTCGTTGCATGTATCATTTCAGCCGGTCCTCCTTAAGCTTCTCGGTGAAAAAGAAGAGATCGGTATTGCCAAGGAGATTGAAAAGGCTTTTAAACATAGCTCTAATAATTGTCCCCTTTTGGGCAATCCTAGGTTACCATATTCTAACCCCAGGGTGACCGTTAGATGTTTCGCGTGTGGCATTTGAGGCCACACTGCCAGAAATTGCTGAGTAAGGAAAGCCCGTAATAATTCTAACTGATTCATTTCATTATCCAAGGTTTACTGTTGGTATAATGCTAATCTTGAAAATAAAGCTTTATGTTTGTTTTCAGTCTGCTCTTTCCTTATTTTGGTTCCATCCTCATTTCCGAGTCCTGTCCAGGGGTTTTCTAAACACAACCCTTTTCCAGTCTTCAAACAGATATATGGTTTGACTCGGTTGTGAGGTTCTTATTTCCCTTCCGTTATCTTCCCGGCATTCGCTTTTCTTTTTTCTTTCTTTCAGAAAATTTTCTTTCTTTCAGAAATCGATTCTGCCTCTCGATTTCGACTACCTTATTAACCCAGCTGCTTCTCACGAGCCCAAAGAGTCTTGGTGTAATTGGGAGGGAAAGCCCCACAACTGTGTCGGCCGCTCCCCTCAGTGGATATGGTCTCTTGTGGTTCCGCGTGCGCTTCACCTGTTTACACCCCTTTCAGAGATAACGAAAACTTCAATGCTGGAAACATTCAAGCGCATTGTCATAAATGGCGGACCGTCTTACATGACTTCTCCACGGCGGATGAAATTTTTCGCTACGTTTCGTCGGGTGTGGATATTCAGGAATTTTTTACGCGTTTTAAAGGAACGTTTTTTGTTTTAGGGTCGTTCATACGACTAGCCCATTCCGCCTCGTATCGTCCTTTCAAATGCGCGCACATGCCAGGACCACGAAGACTTCATTTCCAACTGTATATAAGAGAGAGTCTGAAATGCATAGTTCCCTTTTGGTGGTTGGCAAAATTGGTCTTGTTGACCCACCTTATCTCGTCATGCCCAGTTCTTTATCTTGTTGCCGAAAACGGAAAAAAGAGATCGTATCAACCAAGTTATAAATTTAACAAATCGGTTTAAACGGTTCGATTAAGCGTTGATTAAACACAGCTGTTTAGCGCCATTCGCAAAACGCCACTGCATAAAAATTCCTGATTCTCGATTTCATTTTACACACCCTCCATTTGAAATAAGTACCTTATTCATGCCCAAATAACCTACCACTACCCGCTTAAAACAATGGTAAAATGTAACCTCGTTATGTAGAACGAAAGGTAAAATCTAAACTACTCTTCTTTTACTGTAACTCTTGAATTACGGAGTAATCAAAGTCACTCAGAAAGAAGGAGACAAGAGGTCACTCCGCATGCGTGTTGACAGCAAATGTTAGCTCAAGACTAAGCCTGCTGGGGGTTATGTTCTTAGAGGTGTCCTTATGTCTTACCTTGATTGAAATCTCCTTACCGGGTTATAACCTCTGTTTTGAAAAATAGCGTCTTATCTATGCTGACTGGCATTCAATCACATTCCATGACATAAGAAGAAGCATCTTAAAGGCTGAGAACATACCATCACGAAACCAGTTACGAAACGAGTTCATACCACACAGACGTAAGGTTCTATTGTTATAAAGTGTTGATCTTTTTATCTCTTGAAGCATGGCACAGTTTGTGTATTTTACTGCTTTGTTGGTGTTGTGTGGAAAAGGGGACTCACTGGAAGCCACTACCAGCCCTCAACAACAAAATACTGGCGATACCAAGGACTTCTGTGAGGTACAAAGTTGAAAATCAATTCTTCTTCTAGTAACAGTTATTAATTGCATTTGAGTTGTACAAGTTTAGTTCTTATTTGCATGATTTAAAGAATTTATGTCAGTTGTGTTGGAGATAAAGAGATATAAGAATGTTTGCTTCCTAAGTCATAGTAAATTCTCTCGAGGAATGTTAATGACGTCCGTGTTTCTATCAGTAAGAGTCGGCTTCCCAAACGAACAAACATTGTTATGCAACGATTACAGGAATATATCTGACCTGATTAAGGGGGCTGCAGGGGACAATCAATACGTTTGATATAGATATTAAGGCTTAAAAATCGAACAATGAAGTTCCTAGAACGTGATCATGACCTTGGTCTATAAATTGGAAGGGCCGTAAGTAAAATAACTACGCATAACAAGCCAAAAACGCTAAACAATGAACTAACGTTCCCTTACTTTACTTACTTACTTACTACTTACACCCACGTGGCAAAGACAAAAACGGGTCGCAAAAACAAGAAAGGAAAAGAAAAAAAAGAAAGAAAATAAATACCTCAGGTTCTTGAGCAGCAGGCTGGTCAGCAGGTTTCCCAGCATCTTGAACTGACTGAACTTGTGGAGGGACAGCCAAAGCTTGAACCTGGTCCAGTGGAGGAACATTCGGTGCTTGAGCCATTGCTTCAGCGACGTCGGCAAGAAAGAAAACAAAAAGGCCAATCGGTGACACACTAAAAATCCCGCGTAGAAGTGACAGTGAACGTGTTAACAACGAAAGAACGCTTAAATAGTCTAAGATAAACCCTAAGAGAATTACCTGAGAGGGCGTGTAATATTTTTGAAGTAATAGGAACTTCGTGAAAAGAGGGAAAGCGGCCCTATGCCCCACTGGGGGCTATAAGGAATGATGACGATAACGATGACGCTGGCGCTGACGCTGACGATGACGCTGAGGATGACGATGACGATGGCGATGACGATGACGATGACGATGACGATGATGATGATGATGACGATGATGATGACGATGATGATGATGATGATGATGAAAAGAGGGAACGCTTTCTACGTGTCCAGGCTGTTGCTAACAGTAGTAATATTACCTGTTTTGTTTGTTTTTTCTTTGCTATTTTTCTAGAGTTCAAATTGTGTGTTTTTTGTTGACGGCAGGAAAAGCACATAGAATAACAAAAGAAATTTAAAGTTAAAATTTTGTTACGATCACTCTGCCTCTTTAAAATAGGGCCAACACATTGGCCCCAACAAAAGCTTAATAAGATTTAACAGTTTCGTATCTAGAATCCGACTTAAAACAAACACCTCGTTATAATATGGCCAAGGCCGCCAGGACCATATTTTGGACTTCCAACCTTTGTTTTATTTATACATTTACCCTTTTTATACTTCCACTCCAACATAAGATTGGGTGAATAGTAAAATGTAAATAGAAACTGAAAAAATTGTTTTCAGTTACCATGAAATAGCACAGTTCTACATGTTTAGTACATTTTCAACAGGAATAAACGCGTGAGTCACAGTTCAATGATATACACTAAACCAATCCCGTTGTTACGATTGAGTTTTTTTAGGGGTGCACTATACTCGTATTTATTGAAGTAGCTGCACTGTATATTCTCACGTTACGTGAAAAGAGGAGGAAAAACTTCAAACACAAACATGCGCGCTGGACCGAGAAGTACGACAAGGAGAGGTTACAAGGCAAACGCATAAAGGAAGAAGAGTTCTCGCTTTTTAATCTAAAGCTGCTTATTGCCATAAACAAGATTGCAAGATTATACGATTCTTAAAAATATAGGTCAAAACGTTTCCAGTTTCAAGCGCATATTTCTCTTCAATTCTATTTCTATAGACTCAGTACAAAACGTTACGAAGTTTCACCGACAAGACATTGGCAACGCTCTACACTTATATTTTTATAACACTTTCCAAGCCGTGTCAATAAATGACTATAATAATACAGCACCAATAAATTTACATGGTACATTGAGAACTGAACAAAAAACAACCGCGAGACATCGGTGCAATAAACCTGTAACCTGTAGAGTAACCATCATACCGAGCAAAATCAGTTTTGTTAGAACATGGATTTAACTGGCAAACTTATTGCTAAAGGAGTATCTTTATTTAGAATTTTCTCTTGGCCTTAAATGCCAGCACCACCTAAAAAAAATTAGTTTCGCGTCATTAACTAATTAATTAAAGTGCAAACTGGAAATGAAGCTTGGTGAATTTTCTATCATCATTACTTTTAACTATTCCTGCAGCTAAACAAGTTTCACTAATAGCACACAACAGTGTCAGTTCTCGATTGTAACTAAAGCAGCAATGATCTCCATGACAAAAACCGATTAATCAGGACTGGGGCCTGGACACTTCCTCAATCATTATCCGGGACACTGATGTCCATCCAGTGTAAGCGACACCCAAAGTATTGCCTGGACACTGTCCTACCCATAATTCCACTCTAACTGTGCCCTGCGGGATGTTTTCACAGTATCCCTCAAATGATCGATGATGAAGCAGATTGGGATTCCCAGATGGCCAGTAATTGTACACAGCAGCTTCGATTGTCATCGGTCCACTGCATTCATTACCATTAAACTTGAAGAACCACCGGTTACACCTAGGAGTGCGCTGGACTCTCATATTTCCCTGGAATGAGACTTTGATCGCAGTATCAGACTGCAACTTATTAAACGAGCAGT